TTTCTGAAATCACAAATATTCTAATTGTACTATAGGCACTTTTCATTGGCTACTAGTTGCTAGCAGTTCTGTATACTTACCAATTTTCTGTGTTTTTAGTGTGATTTCCTTTGAGTAAGGACCKTCTTKGATGGTATAGGCCAGTATCTTGAACGYATACTCAGTGTTCACGGCGAGATTTCCCAGTACATAATGAAAAGTCTTGTTGCCGAGAATGTTGATCTGAGGACTTGCCCCAGGAGGACAGGAGATGGCAAACGCTTTGTAATAATAAACTTTAAACCCCCTGATAATACCATTTTGCTGATTTCCAGGTGGTAAATTCCAGGAAAGACGAACACTTGTCGAGTTGATAGGTCTTACCTGGAAATTATCTGGTGCTTTATCAGGTGCTGAGAAAAAAGAAATACGTGCTGCCGTGAATAATATTTTGATTATTAAATATTTTCCAGAGTGATGAAAAAGTTTTTACCGTCTTCCAAGGTGCGTTCCTTTACAACAGTACTTAGTGGACCATCTCCTTTCTCATTGTGAACTAGAACAAGGATGAAATATTCAGTCCACTTTTTCAGGTTAGTCAACGTATACGATGTGTTTTGAAAACCACTGACAAAAAGCCTTTGACGAGGTCGCCCTGGTGCAGTTGTGAAGACAATTTTGTATCCATTGGGAGAACAACTGATTCCAGCAGGAACCTGAAAAAATAAAATTATATGATAACATGCTTTCACAACCGCGTAGCCTCGCTCAAACAACTTTGAGTATCGACTTGAATCAGATACGGTGCACAGCTAAAGTTGCTATAGTTAATGGTACTTCATTTCCTTACTCTTGTTTATGAATGAGTGTTTATTCGATGCAGCTCTATATCTTGAAATAATCCTGAGAAGTTTACCTTCCATGTAACTAGTATGCTTTGAGACGTCTTCGCTCGTGCACTAACACCACTGGGGGCAACTTTTGGTACTATATACCATGTGAAAAAAATATGCAAATAAATGTTAAATTCTATTTAAGAGACTAATTGTGTATCATGCATTCAAAACAGCATACACATACATTCCGAGTCTGTTCTGATATTTCTCGTTGTAGTCCATGGTCCATTACCCAGTTCACTGACAGCCTTGATAATCACATTATAGTACGAACAAGGTGATAAACCAGTTATGGTTAAATTAGTAGCAGGATACGATGCATTCACTGTCTTCGCTATTTGATGATTCCAGTACTTGACCATTATAGTTTTAACATATGAATTGACGGGATAAGTCCAGATAACGATCACTGACTTGGCAAAAACATAAAGCAATGGCGATGAAAGAACAGGAGACATGTCTAAAAAGATATATTCATCATTCTTCAATATTTGATCAATAAAATAATCAAAACGCCACCAAATCAAGACATAATCACATAAGTTCCTATATTCCAATATACAGTAGACAATACATTTTAGTAAAGATATTAAGATTTCTTACCAAGAATAACTTGGACTTGCGCACTTTTCACAGAATCTGCTTCACTATTCTGCTTTCCATACTTTGACTTACACACGTAGTTCCGTCGGCATACCATAATATTTACTTTATTGAAGCACCTTAGTAAGCAAGGGAGTGTGGATGTAAGTTGTCGATGGTCCTGTGGCTCGATCCCAACGCCCTCATTGACCAAATAAATAGTACCTTTCTAATTGATTATTCAAAACTCTAAAAACTATATCAGCCTTTATATTAGTGCTACTAGGTACTTACTGGTATTTCCTGGTTAAATCAATAGCATTGGTATAGTTTACTCGTAGCACAGACTTGACAGAGGTAACATCCCGCGTTATACCACCAGAAAGACTTGTTACATCAGTACCATTAGAATACCATTCAATGTACTGAATTAATGGTTCCTTTACCTGGCACGTCAACTCGACATAGCTACCACTTGATGCTGTAAGGTTTTTATTTGACAGTTCGGTTATCTCTGGAGCAGAAGCTGTGCAAAACGATTTATATTAATTAGTTGCAATAACAAGAATATGCCACACACTATGCCACAGTGTAAATACTGCAAAACGTCTGATTATACTTACGATAGTTGCATCCAAAGACTTCAATTCTCATACACACTGCATTATTCCAGGTCTGGGGATGCACTTTGATATATCTTACTGTGAGTGGGTGACTTAACCATCGGACTGCAATACTACTTCTGTCACTGTTTCCTTGAAAGATCTACAGTGAAAAGCATGGATACCTTCGTAAACAAAGGAGGATATTTAGAATAGATAGTGACTATATACTGCAATTACCTTGGCAGTATTTCCGCCTTCTCGGTGATCATTCCATTGGATTCCATCGATACTGTATTTGATGGTGTAAGTCT